GCTGGAGTCGATGACGAACTCGAACAATGTCGATAATGCAGAGATGATCATTACTAATCACGCTATCTTTTTTGTATTTCTGGTATATACAGAACTTACATGAATGTGTGTTGCTTTGTTTTACCATATTCAACGGAAAACCTAACTATATATGTGTGGAAATCTTTCTGCAAACTTTTTCAATATGTTTAAGCTTCCAAATGCAGATGCGAAGGTAGATCAATGTTTTTCAAAATTTTTCTATTTGGAGCATCCACACTTTCAATGTATACAAGCTGCGGAACTTTTGGATTAAGCAAATATTACGCTAATTGACAGCTTGAGATTTTACATTAAAAATTTGTAGTTTGTTTTCGTCATATATCAACAATGCTCCTATTTATCTTTACACGTACTTTTCATTGCGTAAAAACATTTGTAATTCTGTGCAACCAATACGACGTAAACTTTGCAGAAAAATGTCAGTGTTCTGTCGGTAAAGTTTTCAGCTTCAGCATCCCCTTAATATTGCTGGACATTTACCAATGTATCAAAATAGGACCTTAACTCGTCAGAGTCTAGTTAGGCATACCAGAATAGGACTTACATTACTCATATTTATAAGAATAATATAACTCTATATAGGACCTAAGTGGACCTGTCTTTATGAGTTTTGATAGAAGTAGATACAGACTGTTAGTTTTTCTAAACTGTAAGACCTTTTTAATTTTCGTTCTAAATTTCTATCAGAGATTTGTCAAGATAGTAATTAATTCTATTTTGGTTTTATATCTCATAATCACTACACCAGTAACTATTAAGTATTTTACATAACATGATATTCGGCTGCGTTTAATTATATGTATGTGTGTGCTCTCTCTTTTAAGACATCGTGATATCTTATTAATGTTTCCACGAGCGACTTTCTTAAGAAGCGAAAGGCGACGTGGCTAACCGTGCGACAAAATTAATTTAGCGACCGATTGATTTTCCTCGATAGAAGCATCGAGATGTCAATAGTTTCCGAATAATAAGCGAACGAGAGAACGGAGGCGAAGCTTTTGAAGGACAATATTTCCTCTCTCGAAGTATTGCATTAAATATGACGTCTCTTCTCTTGGAAATCTTGGAGAGAGCAAACCCTCCGCTTCTACTTTTTGCTTCATTATGCATTATTTATCTTACTGAGTTTGCCACTGCATTGCGTCATCGCGTAATCTACTTATCTATAGAAATGGAACGCGCGGCCCTTCCGCCGCGTCGTCGTGAAAAATGCGGCTGTTTGAAGTATTAACTTGTCTTTGTTATTCCGCCCTTCGAGAACGCTGTTTCTGGTGGCTCACGTTCGTATTCCCGAACGGTAAGGAACGTCCATCGCCGGGTCGATACCGCGATAATGTCTGGTATTATCGATCGGCATGTATTAATGGCTTCTCCTTGCGTCGTGAAAATCAAGGATGACAAGAGGGGAATCCAGGATGCGTGGACTTTTGTGAACCACAGCGAAACCCTCATTCCACTAAAAGGATAGTGAAGAAACTCGAGTTACGATATATCCAAAGAGAAATAAGTTATTATGCGATGGATATTCCAATTTGTTACAAAAGATTGCTTTATCAAAACGGAACGATTCTATTTTTCTGAAAGAAAAGGAGGAAAAAGAAGAAGGACTTTTTCTTATGGATGCGGACACGAGAAATAGGAATTACTCGCATGTGTTGTGTTCGATAATTCCTTTGCCTCTAACATTGTAATTCGCGATGCCATCGAAAGTATGGAGCCTTAATAGACTGATGGAAACGCTACTCTATAACATATTCGCATATCATCACTACCTAGTGTGTTGTGTGTTGACGCGTGCGTTTACGTGTGCGCGCACGGGTGTATGTACAGTGTGCGCATGCACATTGCGTAGCATATGAATGCGCGCACACGTACGTCTATGTACCACCTTTCTGTGTATGGACATATATACCAACTGTTATAGGAGTCTAAAACAATACAACAAGCTCGCTACACCGACGCGTATCTGTAACACTTTATCGCGACATATACTCGATAGATTTACGATTTACGAACGTGGTCCGAACGCGGGAGCCGAGATTGAGATCTCGCTGCATGTTACGCATATGTATTCCGCTGTTATATTTTTCAAGTTAATTTCTCGATTCGCTCGTAATTTACTGCGTAAAGGACGAGGCGCGTCGCGCAGTGTGACAAAACCGAATGTCCGAATAATACTATATACTGATTACTCGGCAATACCGATTGATGTTACATATATAAATTTTTAATCATATGTGACCGATTAATACTGCGCAAATGATTGTTGTAATTTTGGGATAAAAATGGGACGAAATTCTATGGCGTCGAATTCCACGCTAAAGAATCTTTATATCACGAAGAGTTTCTGGCAACGTCGCTTCGACCATCCCTCTTTCGAGCACCCTTCCGCAATTCTGGGGTGAATCATTCCCCGTCCTCGAGAGCTCCGACGATAATGCGACGCCCCGCGCACTTTGTACCGTCGAAGGAGGTCAGGTCTTTGTGTCGGATGATATAAATTTATGCGTAAGGAAAAGAGAGGGCCGGACCATGAGATATAGCGGTAACGGAGGAAAATGTCATGCGATAGTGGAGAGATAAGCGATCGGACGGATTTAGAAGAACAGGTATGTAGACATGCAAAATACTTATCGAATCGAGATACGCGGATGCGGTATATCATCGCGACGTTTTTATTTTTTCTTTTTCTTCTTTTTGAAGTATAAATTGTCTATTACCAAAAAGAGGCGACATACAGTACCGGTAAAAAGTTTGAGATTATAAAAGTTTGATAAAAATGATTATCAGTGATCTAAAATTTTTTACTGGTACCGTAGATCGAAATGTTTGGTTGCGCGGAAGAGCTATTAATTCATAAATACTAAAGTAAGAAATAAAGCGATCATTTGTACGATCCAATTGGTAGATGTGTAAAATCATATTTGAAATTGATTTCACATAATTTTATAAACTTAACTTATTCGTATCACTGTGAAATTTTTTTTGATTATTATTCATATTTCAGTTGAAACAATACCATATTCCAAATTTGATTTACGCCACTCTCGAAGTAAGTGGGTTACGTGCTAAGGCAAGAGAAATATAGATAAGGACATTTATGTGGACGTAAGTTGGTAGAATCGTTCGCGTGTATTTTAACGCCTCTGACGTCACAATTCAAGGTAGCTGACGTGGATATCAAGGACCTTTGAAACTTCGTTGACTCACATAGATTTGCGAATACATACATACACGCATGCACGCACACACATACTCACATGATATGTGTACATATATCATGATATATAATTTCATATATGCGTATATGTACATTTTGTATATTTTAAAATGTGGTTCATAATGAAAATAATTTTCATTAAAGAAGTTATTTTTATGTTGTGTGCATCTCTCTCTCCTCTCTCGCTCTTTTTCTTGTGTTATACAGGGTATCTAATTTTAGCTTAGACAATAATTCGAAATGAATTAAAAAAAATGTTTCCAATAAAAGATAGAATATCGAGGGGGAAAAAATAGTAATATTTTTTATTTTAGCATGACTTTAAAAACCTTATTAAGGTCAACTTTAATTTTTTAAATGAAATTATATAATTTTTTAAACATAGTAAGTTTTTTAAACAAGTAAATTCCTCTTGTCATTCTGCGTACAAAAATATTGAAACAAAATCATCAAAAAGTGAATACTTTTTTATATTTTATCTCAATATTTTGTAGCATAAAATATGAAATATCTTTTAAAATATACGTTTTTCAATAATCTCATTCTAATACTTTTGTACGCAGAACAAGATAGATAAAATCGATTGTTGTAAAAAAACATACAAAACTTTAAACGAAATTATGCATTTTGCAGATTTATTTATTTATTTATCCTAGTATGTATAAAGATTAGTATCACTGATCGATTTTTTTTCTTCATTTTACATACAATAGTATTCGAATTAAGTGATCGAAAAGTGAATAATTTACGAGATATTTTATATCTTATATTGTGAAAAATAAAGATAAAATGTTAAATATCTCGGAAAAGTTTTCGATCATTTTGTCTCAGTACTTTTGTACGCAGAATGTAACTAGAAGAATTGATTTTTATATTTAAAAACTACATAATTTTATTAAATAAATTAAAGTTGATTGTAATAAAGATATATTTTGTAGATTATTTTAATTTAGATTAAGATAAAAAAAATTATTACTATTTTTTTCCGTTCCAATACCCTACAAATTCTGTTGGAAATTTTTTTTGAAAATGTATTGTCTTCAAGATATTATGATATCTAAATTAAAATGTGAGGTACACACACACATCCTGTATATTCATATTTATCACTATGAAATTTCATTTTTATAATATACTATATATGATATTGTAGTGTTTCAGGAATGACAATGTTATTAATCGCGGGTAACTTTAACTTTTAATGTCATTAATTCACCGTAATATTTCCAGCGACTTACCGCTATAATTTGTGAACCGGTCGCATAATCGCGAATTTTATAGGGCGGAAAGCTCAGGATATTTTGGTATCTTTTCTCATCTGAGGTAAATGGTGAATGAATAATTACATTCAGGACGAAGAGAGAGAGAGAGTTTCCTTGGAAGCCCTCTGAACTTGCTAACGGTTACATTGCTTCTTCAAACGTATTTATCGAGCGTTTTGAAATTTGAATTTTCGATGAACATCCACGAACAATCTTCGCGAATCGTTAAACAGCAATATGCGTAAATTCTGATGATTTTGTGTTAAAACATCAAATAAGTATTTTCTTTATAACTGAACGTATATCAAAAAGTACGAAGAAAAATGTTAATTCAAAGCAGCCAGTTTTTTGACTCGTCGACCACGGTAGTCGCCGTGTCTGGTATTATCATATTTTAAACGAAGTTTTAAATTTTACAGAGCTTGACTTTAAAATCCTAAGTTTCACGGTGAACCATTATCTAACGTAATTTACAGGTCCAAGGTGAATCATCCCTGAGATACTCGGCGCTATCCAGAAGAGAGTTTTGGGGGAAAAGAGATGAATACAAAAGGAACAAGAATTCGGGAAAGAAACGGGTTTGTAAGTTCTGTGCACACACACACACACACACACAAACGTTATTATTAACGTCATCTATTACTTATTCGTTAATTGCTATTGCTACAATATTCATATGTCATTTACACCTCATTTACATCTCGTCGGTTACATTAAAATAAACATAGAAAAAAGGAACTATGTTAAGTAACAGGTCTGCATCGTCAGTCATATTTATATTAACATTCAGAATGGCAACCAGGGTCAGTTTTGTCTTCAAAGAAGTGCTCGTTTCTGTAAGCATTTCTGCTTAGAAATAAATAAAAATAAAACATGTAATAATTTATTTTTCGCAAAAAAATATATATAGTCCCCAACTAGAAGGATAAAGAAACTTTTATTAATTTTGAGGGATTTTTTCAAACATCCTAAAAAGAGAACAATTGAAGAAAACACAAATGATTGCCGCTTTGAAGATAGCAAAAATATGTTGTTTCTCGGACCGTTAATAAAACATAACAACATCGGACATATTAATTCAAATCAAATTTCGCGTTAAATGGAGCTAATGAGATTAATGGGTTATCGGCGTTTTCGTTTCATCAGCTGTTACGGCGCAACTTGGGACAACGTAATCTTAGCAAGGAAAGCATTCTATTTTCTTCGTGGGAATGAAATCCATACCACTCAAGTGGTGTGACGTATTCGACTTTTACCCTTCTCAGCGTTTCTCAGCGTTTTTCGGTGTTTCCAATGATAACACTTGTATAGATGAGAATGAAACAGCCTGTATAATCCGTACCGTGTGCGCGCACGCGTGTGAGACGATACATTATATATTTACGTACGTGTCATTTCGCTACACTCGAAACGACGGCCCGAAATCGTCCCTTGCTTAATGGAACTCCCCTTAACAAAATGGTAACCACTCGAGTGAAATTGGAATGTATCGTACATTATTGTACAAGCGCATCCAGGCTTTTTCCAAGAGTCCGTACGCTCCGCAGGGCCGATCTTGAGCGAAATGGTATTCTGTATCCACTTATCGTCACATCGTTCTTTTCCTGTAAATTTTTATTATAAAAATATACCTTTATTTTATTATCTTACGAAGAAACATTATTTTCAAGTAAGATTTTCTTATCTTCAGAATTCAAGAAGATAAAACAAAAAGAAAATACGAACATTTTTTTGGTTTAAAAAATTTAAAACCAAGTATTAAATTAATATTAAAAACTTGTAAACTCAATGAATGATCAAATAGTTTCGTTTAAAGTAAAGACAGTTTTATATCACCCTCAATCAAACGATGTTCTCTCCTCACGGACCTGTGGTCCTAAATTCAGGATTGGCTGTCTGTTTCGTTATTATTCGTTTGGGTTGCTCTCCATACGACTCGAACACATCGCTTCGCCGACCATCAGCCGTTGCTCGGCAACCTCTGACTCGCGACGCGTCGTTATACGATGGCGGCGGGGGTGGATAACCGGCTCGGAGTTCCACCCCCCTCTCTGTGTCTCTCTCTCCCTCTCTCTTATTCCATTTCCCTCCGTTTCTCTCTTCCCTTTGGTTGCCCGCTGGGGCCAAGTTGAGTGGCACTCGTTGACCAAACGGTCATTACGACAAATGTTAGTTATGCCTTGACGACGCCGTCAGACACTACGACAACGAGCTAGTGCGAGCAGTCGGTTATACCATGAACCATCGTAACCACCCTTCGGTGAATAGCGTTGTTGGCACCCACCTATCTACTTATCACATGCAATTGCATTTATGGGGATAATGCTACCTCTATTTCATGCATGTTTCACGTATCTTTTAATTGGAAAATTGTATATAGCCGATGTTAAGAACGGTTGCGACATTTTTTGCTTAGAAAGCGTACATTCGCGATAAGTTTTTTGCGATATATGCGAATTTTAGGATATTCAAGAGATTTGTTATTCTCTTTATCCTCACGATTATAGATTAACGATGCAAGAAACTTGCCACATAATTTTATTCTAGACATGATTATTGTAATCCGACTATTCTTACCTCTTATATGTATCTTTAAACTTTATATAATCGTCAGCTATGCCGCGTAGATTAAGACAGAAGTCGTCAAGAGTCGTATCTGATCTCATTAATTACTACGTCGCTGTCACGATCTCTCGCGCAATCTCGTATTCTGGGGCGATTAGTAACGTCCTCCGTAAATTCACAGAACGCGTTGCGAATTTATCCGTATCACCTATGCTTACGCCGCAACAGCACGCATGTGCAAGGAAGAAACTGCAGGCAGGACGATAAGATGAGAGTAGGAGCAGGAGAGAGCGCGGAGAACATTACGTCCTCGACAAACAACACTCGTTTTGCGATAAAGAAATCTTATCGGAGATATCCGGAAAGAGAAATTGCTGCTAAATTATGGAGAAAGTGTTTCCGATAATTGTCAACACAACCAGATACCAATGTAAGTTAGAGATGTAACTAATGTAATAGAGATAATGGAACAGTGATTCAGTGAAAAAATAAAGTATAATAATAGTATAGTAATAGTATAGAAAAAGTATAATAATAATATAATAATAGTATATAAAGTATAATAATAGTATAGTAATTGTATAGTATAATATAATATTCCATAGGTCTTTGTATCCTCCTTCCCTGCCTCTCTCTCTCTCTCTCTCTCTCTCTCTCTCTCTCTCTCTCTCTCTCTGTCTCTCTCTCTTTTTCAGTCCTAAAGCAAACTATTTCAAAATTTTATGAAAATATTAGGTTCTTTTAATTTCACATCTATGATAACTAGGATACAAAAATATTTTATTCAGAAATTTTTTTTTATATTTTGCAATGTAGCCAACTGTGTTAGACTTAAAAAATATTAAGACAAATTTTCCACATTGATCAGTAGTTCAGCGTACTGAACATATGGTTTTACACACTTAAAGTAAAAGGATAGTTAGATTATAGACTTGGAAAAATATTCAGCCGACTAGACAGCAGGACTAAAGAGGATACATGTGCAGCCAAGCCCGTTTCGACTCGAGTACGTCGCAAGAGTCGCTGTTCTGAAAGTTCAAGCGTCGTAGTGTGGGGATAACTTCTAAGAAAATAATCCCCGTTAATTCCGTTGGAGCCATCTCGGTCCAACTTGTAGCGTTGAAACTCTGGGACTCGGTTGGAAGAAAAGACAGAGAGAAAGAACGGGGAAGAAAGCGAGGGGGAGAGAATCCGCTTTTCGCACACATCGTAAGCAATAAATAAAAATCCAATAAACAATACTTGAAAAGAAGCGAACAAAATAGAAAAACAAGCCAATCAACCTGACCGACAACGAGAAAGACACCGACAAAAGAAGATAGACTAAACTCGTGGCGCGGATAGCGCGAGGATGAGAAGAGGGATGAACGTCGACCGGAGCGTGACGGAGAGATACATCACGGGAGCGAGACACGACGAGAGAGGGAAAAGGGGAAAGGAGAAAGAGGGAAGAGCGCGCGTTGGATGGCGCGCTATCGCAAACCCTCGCCGGCGGACGCGGCAGGATGCCGAGGTCGACGCTATCGATTGGCGTCGGTGTTTCCTCGTCGGTATCTAGCGGCCGGCGTGTTCTCTCTCTCTCTCTATCGCGCTCTCGCTCCCTCCCGCCGCCGGGCGAGAACTCATTCCCCTCTCTCTTTCTCCGTCTCACTCAGTTGCACGCTCTTCCGCCCTTCCTTCCCATCCACCCACAGCGGTAACAGGTGTTGGTCTGGCCCCGAACTCGTACAAAATCGATGGGCGAGAGCCACATCGGCGTCGCGAGGGGTTTCTCTGCCGATTCACCTCCCCGTCGGCCTACCTCCCTCGGTAACCCCTCGGTGTAACTCCCTGCCACCCCGTCTATCAAGGGAGAGAAGGGTGGCGCGCGTAAGAACAGGGGGAGCGAGAACGCGAGGCGCGGGAGGACGCGCCGCGGCCGGCAGAGCAGCGGAGCTGAGAGGTGAGGAAGGACGGGAAGGGAAAAGAAGGGGTCGCAAGTTACGGGGGGTGCAAGCGGGGAGAAAGCGCTGCACACGGCGCGGTGGTAAGGACGCAGGCGCCCGGGACGCGGGGCGACGCTCGTCGGCGACGCTGCATTGGCAGTTGCACCCCAGCCACACCCGGTACGAGCCATGTAGTCGGGCTACCCTCCACCGCGATACACGGCGGACAATTGTTGCTTCTGCGCCCACAGGTGGTACATCTTCGTCTTCGATCTTCGCAGAACTCTCGTCGGCGCCCGCGTCCGCCGTTGCCAGTGCCCGGGATCCCATCGTCCTCGTTGTGGTCCTCATCGTTATCGTCACTGTCGCCGTTGCCATCGCTGTCGTCGTCGTCGTTATCATCGTTATCGTCGTCGTCGTCATCGTCGTCGTCGTCGTCGTCGTCGTCGTCGTCATCGTCGTCATTGTCGCCATCGTCGTCATTGTCGTCGTCGTCCTCGATCGTTTGCTCTCGTTCCACGTCACCGTCGTAACCACCACCGCCACCGTCGCCGTCGCCGTGTTCGTTGTCGTGGTTACGCCTCGTGTATATCCGTCCGTCGAACGAGAGTTCCACTATACCGGTAGTCTACGTGCTCGACCTCCAAAGTACCAACGATACCGTTGTCCGAGGTGATAGACGCATATACACCGGCCGAGGATTCCGGAAACGAGGAGATACTGCCGGGACGTCGTGCATCGTCGTTGCAACGATTTCGGAGTGAGACTGTGACGACACCAGCAGCGCTTTCCGTGACGAAGAACGATAGGGGAAGTAGTACGATATAGCTTGACGCGCGCTCACCAGCCAAGTCGCTTTCGACTGCGTGTGTGCACCGACGGGGTGGCAGCAAAAGTGTGCGGGGGTGCGACGAGTGCGCGCGGAATTTCCGGGGTCGCGGAGAGGACTAGAGGGAGCTATCGACCACACACGTAAGGCGGCGGCGGCGCTCGGTCGCACACCGGCGCACACAGATACACAACATCGCGGACCTGTTGTCCAACTTGTTGCTCGTCCCTGCGAAGGCTCACCCGCCCACCACCTCCACCTCAAAGAAAAGCTTGTTTTCGAAAAAAAAGAACGAGGGTCGGTAGCGCTCACGGAAGATCCTCAGCGAATATCGGAACGGCGCTGCGACGCTTCTTGACCAAATTGTATTCCGAACACAGAAACGACGAATACTGGCAAGGTGGAATTGAAAATCGAAGAGGGAGTTTTGACGATGTCGACTTATTGACTATTGCTGACGTATACGAATTCAGCGACTTTCAGGAAAGCAAAAGAAAAAAGAGAAGGAAAGAGAGGAGAATTTGACGTCAATTAAGCACAAGTTTATTTGTTGTACAGCTTTGGAAGAAGAAAAGAGATCGACTTAACATGATGTTACTTAAGTTGGAATTTCTCGAGTCGTATTTAGCAAAGGAACTGTGATTCTCTCTCTCTCTCTCTCTCTCTCTCTCTCTCTCTCTCTCTCTCTCAATCCGTGTCGCGAGATTTTCCGCTTTCTACGAGGTAGGAGCAAACGTATTGAGGGAGGCAAACACGTTAGAAAAACTCTTTCATCCTCAGAGTGGAACGTTCGATTCTTACTCGACTCAAAGAAACTAATGGCGTGCGCTGAGTAATTCAGAGGACCAACTTATAGAAACTCCACTATTCACGAATTTAAACTTAAAGTTGTTACGTTTTATGGAATTGTAAAGGAAGTAACTACTAAGCGACGAACTATTGGCTCGAACTTGCATTTGATAGAGTAAGAGGTCCGAGTTCATTGACCTGAATGGCTGGAAATCGCTTTTTTACCATATTTCAATTTCAATCAGCGATCGAGAATTAAGATTTGTAACGCCATCGGAGTTGTTTTCACTACGAACTATAGAGGAATCCACACGCTACCTCAGTTACCTCGCAAAAGACATCCGACACTCGTCAACAGAGAATCTAATATTAACGTCATGATGAGGATATCGCCCCAATGCATATGTCTCGTGACAACGACGTCATTGGCAACTAACGGAATGAAACATTGTCGTTTGCAACAACTGGGCGAGTGAATACATCGATTTCCTCGTTGACCTAACGCGACGGAATCCAGCTTCGAAGTGGATTCACGCATCGGCCTCACCAACATATGCATCGCCGGTGGTAACGGCCAGTTATTGCAGTGGTGAAGAGTGACAGAGAGACAAAGAGAGGGGAAGACGGACAAGCCGTATGGCTAGAATGTAACAGCACGCGTAGACACGCGTAGACGTGCGCATGTTTCCGCGAAGGACAACGTCTCGCATTCGACTATGAGCGTAAGAATAGCGGAGCCGGAGATCATGTAAATTTTCTTCCACCCGTGAATACAACGAAAGCAATACTACAAACAAGGTAATCGAGGAACAAAGCAAAGGCAAATCGTGTGTACACTCATATTCACACGTGCGCGCGCACACACACATACACACAAACACACACATACACTAACACACCAATACACCAACACACAAACACGCACACATATATTCTTCCCGTCGACTCTAAATTTTGTATCTGTATAATTGTCCTGATCGCACTTACAAAAATTCCCTGCGGAGCCTGTGGTGTACATTCCACTATTTAGGCTCGACACAGTATCAATCGGCGCGATAGTCATTCAACTCACTTCAACCTGAGAAATATTTTAATACGAATGTATACATGCACACTCCTCATTACACAATCGCAGCTCTTGTACCCGCTCATTTAGTCCTATATATAATTATAAAAAAATATATATACGTTTAACATACACGCGGAACGCTCTCAAGAAATCGCGTGCAACGACGTTTAGAATTAATAGCGGTATCGCCGGAATAGAATCGAACCGAGCGCTTTATCCTACCTCAAAGAGAATCGTCCTTGCTTCCGCTCACTGCAGGTGAGAAGAATATCGAGCAAAAGGAATCCTGATTAGAGTGATACGTCGCTGACAGACTGATATATGACGAGGATGTTGCATCTCAGGCTTTTGCCGAATTAGAAGTTTTACAAGCGAACCACTGGGGCATCGATTGAGTAATTGATTGACGTTGTGTTTCTGGTGACGTCCGCGGAAACCAGAAGAATAAATCCACTATCCTGATTGTATTAACCGTAAAAGGTACATACATTCGTACGATAGGGACTGGCGTTTCTTGCTACGGGAACGCACTCGTGATCGAATCAGACTTCTAAGTTGGTCTCGAGAAAGGTCGATATTCAAGACTCAAGATACTTGCTTCGCCAAACCTCTATTGGTCGTCATCGGCCACGTCTGTTTTCTCGATCGACGGTCGTCGAACGATCCCCACCAATACTTCAATATTATTAATCCCGGCAGGAAGATAGCAACCAGTAGTCAAGATGCCGCGGTGTTACATGGTAAAGAAGGCCTTGTGCAACAAGTACATAAGCAGCGTTGCCAGAGGATTCGAGGGCTGGAGTCGTGGAAGGAGCACGCCATCACCAACAACCACCATACAGCTTCCCTTCTCGCCCATAGAGGGGTGCGTCGCACCCCCTGTTGCACAAGGTATGTCGCATTTCGCGTATTTAACCGAAAATTTACGATCTTTTGTTGTTTGTCGTTTGTTATGAGGATGCCATAATCTTTTCTTTTTTTTGCCGCGACTTGTAATCTATTTGTATTGTTTGCTACCAAAGCAATTTTTGCGACTCTTAACTAGCACTCCCAAGTATTTGAATATCTGACTATCCAGGTATCTAAGATTGGTTACAATCCAAAAATTAGAAACTATACTATTCGGATCCAAGTTCAAATCACAAGAAGAAATTCGGATTTAAAATCAAAATCCGAGGGATTTAAAATAAAGATTGGAGATTGGATTCGAAATAAAAAAAACAAAACAGATAAAAAGATAGATTAATTTAATAATAAAATTATCTGAAATAATTACACTATTCGACAAATGTTTTTGCTTTTTCACAAAATTATGTGAATAGTCATTTCTGATATATTTCTTGCCGCTAAATATCCCTTGTTTAAATTTTGCTGTTGCGTCACAATTTTAAGGAAAATGAAGGGATAAAAAAGCTGACTTTAAAGGAATTCATAATATAACAATGACAGAAATTCTTTTTTCTAAATTTTATTTATTCCATATGAATGTATGAACTTTAAGCTTTTTAAAACGCGTTTCCTCTGATTTCCATACGATTTTTTGTTTAAGAGATATAGTTGTCTCAAAATAACGACATGGGACAATTGTGCCTCTTTATGTATTTATGCATTTAAATAATAAAACTGTCCAATATTATTTAAAAATAGTACTTTACTCCCATGTAATAAATGAAAAAGGAATTTAATTTTTTTTAATACTACATTGTGTAGAAAGTAAATACTTTTTGTATTTACATAATATAAATGTATAAAAAAATAAATAAAATAGCTTCTTAGAAATTCTATTTATGCAGTTGTCCATAATATAAACTATGTTGTTGCTGTCCATTTTATAATAAACGGACATATGAAATTGTTCAAATTATTGCACTCTTATTTAATATTTTCCGATTATATCATGTACAAAAACATTTACTTTCTATACAGTGTAGAATTAAGAAGAAATTGTTTTCTTTATTTATTAAATGGGAAAAGAACTATTTTTAAATAGTGTCGGACAGTATTATTATTCAAATACATAAATAAGCACAATCATTTCAGAGGTCGTTAAATTATAGTTAAAAATAAAAATAAAAATAAAAAAATATAAATATAAATATACAAAATATAAATATAAATAAAAATAATTTATTGATTATCAAATTTTCGAGTGGGATCTAAGTCTGTCGATGTTTGAGAGGGATTTTGTTTAGTCGATGTTAAATTCAAAGTTAGATGCAGATTCAGATCCGTATTTGATGTTTCAATATTCTTCGAAAATATTTCCATTTTTCGAGTATTTTTGAAAACCCGAATTTGCAAATAATTCGATTTTAAAGCACGTTTATATATTATTCGAATATTCCGATATCCGGATAATATCAAATCTAAAAAAATATTGAAATCCTGATATATATATATATATATATATATATATATATATATATATATATATATATATATATTCTACTCTTCTTAAGGATGAAAAAATCATATAAACATAGATCCGGAAACTTTTCGAGATATAAATACTTTTTTGTTTATGATTAAGTATTGTAGGAATGTTTAAAGCTTACTTAAAGAAATTTAATTTGTTAAAAATTATTTCTTTCCTAACAATACACGCTTCACATTGACGTTACAGAAACTGTCGAAAACGTTAAAAATTCCTGGTGTATCCCGAATTTTATCAAATGCGGCAATAATTTAGTTTTTGAGTGTTTCCAAACTATCAACAGTATTATTTATATTTATATTTTATCATAGTATTATTTATATTTTATCATAGACTAAATTATTAAGATGTCCCCAATACTCCTACAATTCTCTTACAATATTCCTACAATACTCAATCATAAACAAAAAAATATTTATATCTCGAAAAGGACGAGTTTCCGGACCTATATTTATATGACCTCTTTCATCCTCATAAAGAGTAGAATACGGTACCGCAAGTTTGGTCACTTTGTTCGGTGTCACCCTGTATATATATATATATATATATATATATATATATATATATATATTTAACAATACCACATACACAAAATATTTAACTCAAAATTAGATCATGATAAATAAGAGATTGGTCTTAAAAGTGTAAACGAGATGAATCTATCTGAATGTAATAATTGCAGCAATCTGTTTGAATATACCAACGAATAATGCATTAATAGAGGAAAGTAACCAAAAGCAACACGGGCCTACTGAAACGACATACCTCTATATCTTATATATTAAATATTGTATTTTATCGAAACTAATATAAACGTAATTTGTTTTATCAATTAAGTCATGAAAAATTCATATGATATATTTTTTGTTCTTTTATATGCTAAATTAGCAAATATGGAGTTTTAGAAATTCGTAAGTTTTATTTCTATGATTTTTATTGATGAATTACGTAGACTAAATAGCGATAATTATCTTTTTATTCAATATTAAGTTCTTCTATATGCATTTGACTTTCGTAAAAATATTTTTTGAATATTTTTATCTTCATCTCTTTTTTACTGTATAACTTGAAAAATTTTATGAGAATGTCTTAAAGTGACATATCTATAGTATAGCAATAGATGCGATACTCTATGACTAATATAACCTGATTCTAACCTCTCATTGTGACGTGAATTTGTTTATTTTAAAGTTTAATTTTGTTTAGTTTAAAAATATAACATATGTAAAATATATGAGAAATGAAAAAGATGGAAATGCCAAAGATTTTTATTTAATTATATTTCCCTTTTGTAATATTATATTTTGAATAAATGAATATTATTCAATCATTAAACGCATTAATGAACTATTTATTATCAAATATTATCATATATACAACATGTTATATAACTTCCAATAAGTATATCGCCATTTTTTTTTAACTCCATTTTCATGCGTGTTACAAAAACATTTTTTATTTTAAATCTAGAAACAATTTCATTATAAATATGATATTATCTGATAAAGTACTTCTAACTACATGTATATACAGTGTGTCCCATAAGTTCGGCAACGGCAAGAAAACTCGGCGGGGGAGCATTTTAGAGAAAAATGTTTCGAATAAAAGTTGTAAGGCTTAAAAAGTCGCATTTAAGTCGCAGTTATTTGACCTAAGATGACGTCGCCAAGGTCAGGACAAGGTCAAGATTTGCTTTTTTAGATAGAAATACATATTTTTTATTACATAATTTTATTCTACGCAGGCATTTTATTCTACGTGAAAAAGTAAATAACTTTTGTTTGAAAAAATTTTTTATACGACCTCTATTTTCTAAGATATTTACGTAAATATCTACAAAATTATTGGTTTCAATAATTTTTTACTTGAATTCTATCAACTTTACCGAAAAATATCAAGAGATAAAAATTATTTATTTTGTTCTCATAGAGCTCTGAAAATTTTTTCAGAATTTTATATTAATTTTTTAGTACTGCATTTTCTTGCATTTTCTTGAAGTACTAAAAAGTTAACACAAAATTCTGAAAAAATTCTCAGAGCTCTTTGAAAACAAAATAAGCAATTTTTTTCTCTTAATTTTTTCGGTAAAGTTAATAGAATTCAAGTAAAAAATTATTGAAACTAATAATTTTGTAGATATTTACGTAAATATCTTAGAAAATATAGGGCGTATAAAAATTTTTTTCAAGCAAAAGTTATTTGCTTTTTTACGTAGAATAAAATTCCGTAATAAAAAATATGTATTTCTATTTAAAAAAGCAAAGTTGACCTTGTCCTGACCTTGGC